TTTAAACCACGTTTAACAATGCCCTGTTTTCTCTCAGGAGGACAGATTTTGGATGACTTCCTAAAGCTTGAAGTCCTTCCCAATTCTTTACCCTTGAAGGGAACGATTTTTCACAGCTTGTCTCGGTAATGTTTTTCCACACAAGACTCAGAATCACGCCAATCAATCTTGCACCCTAACATGCAGGTACAGATTTCATGGTGTTACCATGGGAGAGAAATGCTTTTTAGCCACGCTTTGTGCTTTTTCATGTATTCATCATCACAATCTGAACTGAGCTCTAAGCAGTCAGTTCTCCAGTCCTGATAATTGCACCCTGAAATACCCAAGTTAAATTTAAAATGAGGTACACCTGTGTTCATCTCCATATTAATGGAAAATAAGAACAGTAAATCCCAGTTTTCCACAAGCCACCATCATCTCAACTTTTCTTTCAGGGAAACTACTGCCTTGCACATATTAAAATACTGTTACACTTCCTTCCCTTTCCTGTCTAGATATTCCACTGTACCTCCACTAGATTAGATCTTCCACTGTACCTCCACTAGATAAATTATGAATTTACCGAAATCTACATCACTATGCCTGACACTTGTAATATCTATAGATGCCATTGCACATGCAAGACACAGTAAAAACCTGCTTCTGTTTTGAATTACTGTATAGCATAATATGATACAGACTTCGAAACCCGGAGTTGTCCCATCTCAACCTTAATCATGAAAATGTGTGAACATTCCCCATCTTTTTTGTACATTTAAAAAAAAATAAAAAATGTAACATTCTGTACATTAATAGCTGTATTTTATAATTATACATAATTCTAAACACTGTAAATAAAAGGAGTGGAATTGCCTATTATTAATATCCATGGCAACTTACAAGTATATTGCTTACATACTTACAACATGCATTAAGTGCAATAATAATTCACTGTTGTTTTATTTTTAAACTCTTTTAAACTCTGCACCTCAGCAATCATTTCATTATCAGTTTGTTTATGTCATACTGTATTTGTTTCATTCTAACACCTGGGGCTATTTACTGGAGTACACTGTTTCCATTTAGAGGTGAAGGAAAACAAGTAGGTGACTACTTGTTTTTCTGAAAAGCTAGTGTACCAAAAGAGATAAAGGAATTACCTAAAGTAATGTCATTCTTCTATATGTATACACACTGAGGGTTTGCATGCTGCATTAAATAGGGAAACAGGAGATTTCCTCTTTTTAACATCCTCCTAGCATAAAGAGAAAGATTTTATTCCCTGCACAGTGCATTACATTAAACTGTACAAACAATACACTGTCTAATCTTTGCTGTTCCTCAGAAGCCAGTTCTAGGTTCACATTTAGTTTTACATATACAAATTAGGGATTTGTATTTCATTACTAGTCATGATGTTATTTTGTTTTTATACACAATGCCATAGAGTTAATAAAACATTATATACCATTAAGTACTGGAAAAACATCATTTACATTGGAAATTATTACCACTAATAATAACTTGGTTCAAAGAAGTAATTAAAGATCACTTCTGATTCCCTAGCAATTGATTGAGCGGGTCATTCTCACTCTTTATCTGTGGGAGGACACCTTGGGAAAATAAGGAGGTATGTTTTACATGAACAGTGTAGGGTCTCAACATTTGTGAGGGTTCAGTGCAGAGAACCATCACAAATGGTCAAATTCAAATATAACCAGGCTCACTCTTATACCAATACATAATGTAATACAGAATATAGTAGGTATGGTTAAAAGATGTATGATAATTAAAGTACTAATGCATTATAATAAATAAACTAAAACAATGAACAATAATTACAAATTTATAGTATTCCGCTAACACAAACATGAATCCCTCCTCTGCATTCAATGAATGCCTGCATTTTCTCTATTTCTCTATATTCTCTATTTTGGAGATAGAACTGGGAGTTTTTGTTACAAAACAAAAACAAGACCACGTTGCGATGCAGATGCATGGTAGTGGATACTTGGGCAGGAGGCAAGGGGAGGTTTACTTGCTAGTTTGATTTGTTTCATGATCCTAGTCTGTTGCAGGGCTAATTTGAAAGTTGAACAAACAGTCTTTGGCACAGTTTAATCCCGCTGTGCTCTTCTTCCATAAAAGACATATTTTGAACTTCTCCTATAATTCAATTTAGTTCAGATCTTTTGATATAAAAGATTTAGAGGAAAAAAGCCAGTTGCAGTATTGAGTTTAAGACATACAGTAACTACTGTTAGCATATCTATAAATAAAATAATATATATTGAATATACATATTTATGTTTTACAGACACTGCTCAATATGTACAACATTAATACAAATCTGTTTTCAGGTGCTGTACATGACAGTGTATATATTTAAATATATATATGAAAATTTGGAGTAAAACAATTAATTAGAAACAGCAGTATTCTATTTACCCTTCAGTTTATTGCTATGCTGTGACCCAGCTGCAAAGAGCAATTGTTAGGTCAGTCTTTGCAAAGCTAAGGACACTGTATACAAGCTTTAGCACCTTATTAGAAACAATGTGTATGATGGGATAATGAACTTAAGACAATGCTAATTAAGAGACGAGAACAATGGTTTTAAATTTATAAAACTGAATGGCACAGAGCTTGCTTGTAAGACAGCATTAAGCCACCTTAATCCATTTTAATTCAGAGCATAACCAACAGTGCAAATGAAATGGATTTAGAGGGTCGAGTTCAGCTTCTGAGAACCTGCGATACATTCACCTGTGACAATTCTTTATGGCATGATAAAGTAAGGGAAGTCTCTCAAGGACTCGGAGTGACTCCATCAAGTCCCCGGGGATCAGGTGTCAAAGTTGTCTATCAGATGCCTGAAAAGAAAAAAGGGCCACGTTACTCAGTGCTATTGTGCGACAGTTGTCATTGACTGATCAGGCCTATTTAGTAAGCTTTCACAGTGAATGAAACCACCTGAATAGATGAAAGTGAGACAGCCTCTGACAAACAAGAAACCATGGAATATTCATTGAGCATCTGCAAGCGAAAGATTAATGTATTAGAAATTAAAATAGGGCCAAAACGTATGATCTTGCTCTAACACTTGGCCAGACCTGTGTCACCCGCCGCTAGTGCCTGAAGTCGACAGACAATTCTGCCAAGGTAACTGAGAATCATTAAGCATCCTGCTATTGTGTGTGCTGAATAATAAAACTTTCCGCCTATTCTTTGCTTGGAGCTGACAATGAATAATTCTGGAGCCATTTGCAATGTTAACGGTACCTATCTGGGCCATCCATGCCTTTATGATAAGGCTTCAAATATGCATTTCAACAGTCTGTACAGACACTGATTCACAGGCATTTCAAAGGACACCTGTCACTCAACTGAAAGACCTGTCAGTCTCAGTTGTGCAATGGTGCCAGGGAAATGGCCAAAAAGATAATCTTTACTTTTTTCTTTCAGATTGTAACAGTTACATTTGCCATAGACTGACAAGTGATTTACACTGAAAAATAGATTGTGCTTAAACTAAAAAAAGGTTTATTCTCTTAGGCAGTCTTATTCTTCACTGGTTTACAACTGTATCAAATATACTATCAAAAATGTGATCTGAGCTATACAGAATGTCATTATGCTTGATATTATGAGCATTAAACCTGTTTCGTGGCACAAAGGTGACACTGATAATTCGTATCTTTCAAAACAGAATCTGGGTGTGTTAAAGTAGGGATGAGATGACCAGTGAAAGTTCCACACAGAGTGTTTTTTAAATACTTGAGAAAATTCAAAACTTACATTACTGCTTACTAATATGTACTTTCTTCATACATGAAAATCAGAGAGAATATTTTATTTGCTCATAGCAAAAAACAAAACTAGTGTGGCACTTCACGGCAAAACAAGCAGATGTTAAAAAATAAAACATTCTTACATTTCTTAATTTTTCAAATATGCATTCAAAATATACATTTTGTTTTACCCTCTTGTAAAATTGTTTGTGTTTATTAAATTGTTAATCTAAAATTATTATTTAAGTAATAAACACCTACGTTGATTTAGTTGGACCAGCAGGTAGAATAAGTTAATTATTTAAAAGACAATTTGCACAGTTTAATGTAAAAGACAATCTGGAATGTAGGAAAAGCATTATTTTAGCGTGCATGTAAGTCTTTATGTAATCTGAGAAATTTTAAAACCTTATTAAATGTTAGAAGAAATTTATCATTTTAAAAAATGTGTTTTAAATATAATACAGTATCTCACATGTCACTCAATGTCAAATAAATTTAAATTGCTTTTCTATTGTAGTCAGGACCGTACTAGTACCGACTTGGGACTTATTCCATGCATCGGGATATAATATTCCCTGGCTTTTTTTATTTCTATATTAAAGTTGTGTATTTTCCACTGGAAACAAACTATTATTATTTGATCTGATAAAGAATATATTATCATGTTGTTACATAAATGTGAAAATCAAACTACAAATAATGAGACCAGAATTCAATTTAATTTAGAATTGTAAACAATGGATGTTATGTTAGAATTGCACAATGCACTAGTAAGGCCTGTAACATAACACTAGTAACATGACAATTTTGGTCACCACATTATAGAAATGATCTTGCTGTTCTTGAATCTGTTCTTGAAGGGCAACAGATTCCTTTTGTGGGCTAAAGGAAATGTCCAACACTGACAGTCTGAGGGATTGAATCTTTTTGGCCTTGAACAGAGAAGACTATAAGGAGACCTGTATACAAATACTTACAATTCTCAAAGGCATTGATGAGCTCAACCATGAGGGTTCATTTGTATTTATTCAGTGAAACATGAACCAGAGAGCACACATTAAAAACAAAAAAGAAAATTAAAACCAAGAACTGGGGGCATTTCTTTTCCCAAAGACTTGGGGAAGTATGGAGCAAGCTACCCAGTCATGCTGCTGAACACAGTACCCTTTCAAGAAAAAGTTGGATGAGGTCCTTGAAAATTTAACTACCAAAGCCCTCCTATCATCTATCATGTTTCTTATGTGATTATTTTCTTATGCAAAGCAGAAATTTTAAAAGACCACTAAAAAACAAACATAACCCAAACTGTAATACCTTATTTTTTAAATATAGTACAACTGCCATATGCTTGATTTTGCAATACGCCTTCTGATTTTATGATTGAAAATCTGGTAGGAATGACTTCTATGAACTCCTAGGTGACTCATAAGATCAATAAAGGATCCACACACTTTCAGGATCTTTGAGCAGGAGATGGTTATGGAAATATCTGCTTGTACGCTGCCAATGTGGAAATGGTGAGCTCTCTTTGGTGCTCTCTCTTTTCACTTTGCATCTCAAAGTTTTCTTTGCTCCCTCCTAGATATTCTTCTACCATCTGGTTTGGTCTAAACATACATTTCCCTGCATCTACCCAATATCATTGTCGTATTTCATCATATGTGTATCATATCATAGCTTTTTCTGTCCTCCTCTGGTGCAATCGTCTTGGCCAAGTTGTGATAAGAAGACCCTGATTGCAACCCTGGATTCTGACATCCAGAATGGTGGACGACTCACATCACTGCTTGCACTGCATGCCTAGGAGAGAAATGGGATCATCTGTATGACTTGATACAGATACAGAAAATCTTCTTTAAGTAGCATTGGCAACATGACCTCAGTGCTTTGAATTTCCTCATGTTTGCTGTCTAGGCCTGAGACCCAAACAGAAAGGTAGGAATGGTGACCGCACAATAGACCATCAGTTTATTTTCAGTTTTGAAGTTGTTAGTCTCAAAGACCCAATTCCTCAGCAGATTTAGCAGACTTGAGGTGATGCTGACTTTCTTCATCAAAGCCTTCCATGGATAACAGCTCACCGGATTGTGGACATGCTTGCAGTACTTGCATATGCAGAGTGCTGGTGAAAGATTTCTGATTGTTCAGTGAGTGTCCAATCTTCTCCTGTGCCCGAGTACATATAGTGACAATTGTCTGGATGTCCATTTCTGTCAAAGCACAAAGCACAGGATGATCAGCATACTGTAGTTTGAAAACTGTATTTGGGGAGATTTTACTTTTGAACCAGCATTGTTACACTGATTAAATAATTTATCATCCACTCAGTAAGTCGGCTGCACTACAGGAGACAGCTTGTCCATTATCAAATGCAGCTTGGCACTCTTATCCGGACTTCATAGCAAATCGAACTATTACTGAGGATTACTATATGCGCATTATTGTGAAGCAGAAGAAGGATGCTGATGAATTTTGATGTATGTCCATATTTCAGCAGGATCTTTTAGTGTGCCTTGTGATTTCAAGTGGCAAATGTCCTGTCAAATCCACGAATGCTAGCTTGAAAGGCTGGTGTTTTTAACTGCCTTTAAAAATCATATTTGTCTTACCTCTGGACGATCTAAACTAAATTTAATTCTGGGAGAAGTTCAAAAGCAATAAGCACAAATGTCTTCAATGAGCATTTAAGAGTGTTTCATGCACAGTACATTTGATTAAAACAATCACAATCATCAAAATTAGGGGATGGATTCCCACTAAAGTATTGTAATTTATCAGAATTTATCAGCAGGATAACTATTGCATTTACATTTGAGCAGCTTCCATAGAAATGTACCCATTGGATGTTATGGATTGACAATTCATTTAATAAATGAAAAATGTATTTAGAAAAGTATTACTAAGGTTGTACAAATTTTGTACAAACAGAACATTGAATGTATTCATTCAGTCAGACTTTAATTGCAATTTATACACATATTTTTCTCATATTTAAAATATAACCAATTATCACCATATTTATTAAATAATACATGCAATAACATATACAATATTATATTTAATATAAATATGATTATATTTAGGAATTCTCATTTTAAGATTAATTAAACTTAAAGTCATGACAAAATATTTTTATATCTTTTAATGTACAGTCTTGTTTTGTATATTTCACTATGATCCTCAAGCATTGCTAGTTACACACAAAAATAAAAACATTAAATATTTCTTTAAAAGTTTTAATTACTTTTAAAAAACTGAAAACTCAACAATACACTAAATTTATCTGTTGCAACTACTATTAAACTTATCACAAAAAAGTTCCATATCTTAATTATTCATTTTTTTTGCAAGAACTGATTTATATATATATAAAAAAAAAACAATTCAAAACATTCTCCCTGAACAGGATGTTAGTCATGAAAGAGTACTGTATTGATAGTACAGACTTTTAAATATAGTCCTGGTCTTATGTCTGTTGGGCATCATTTAGGTGTTTTGGTAACTTAATTGAAACCATAATGACACCAATAATCTCCTTAACTATATAATTCTAATTGTTTGAAAGCATTGGACATTTAGAGGTACCCATTAAAATTTGCAGTCCACTTTAATATATTTAGGAACTCAAAATAAGTACATTATTAGTTGAATTAAGGCTTACATAACGAGAGTTAGCAGGCTATCAACCACCCAGTCTGACAAAGTACTTGACAATACTGTAGGTACTTTAAACTGCCTTTTTATCCAAAGGAGTAAACCAGTTATTCAGTGGGTTGCTGCCTAAATACTGATAGTACCTGTTGGCGTTCTTATCTAAAATGTCTTGGTGTGTAGTATATCACAGTGTTAAAAAATGATATGATAGGGTACTCCTTTCTAATTACTGGAGTAGGTGGAGATCGGAATCTTGGAGATGTTAGGAGTGAATTTATTTGGTTCATTTGAGTTAACAGTGATATAAACAATTGAGTGGGCTTGAATCTATTTGGACACCTTTGCATGGTATGATTTTGATTAATTAGTTCTTATTAAAAACACTTGATGTTCACTGCCCTGCATTCACCCCCAAAGCACAGATATGTATCACTCTTCCATGCTTGGTTTGCTCTCAAACCACAGGGAATTTTAGACACAATACCACATTTAGACACAATGAAGTGATAGAAAGATTGGTTGCCGATTTCCTTGAATTTCTGTGATCTACAATCATGTTTATCTGTGTGATTTAGTTGGTAAATCAAGTTTCAAAATGTTACTCCATTTTTATAGTTTCCAAAAGGATTTACTGACAATCACAAATGTTCGTAGCAAGTAAAACATCTTTAAATGTAGATTTTAAGGGGTGACTCACACCATTAGTAGCAATAACGCTAAGCCCAAACAAAAGACAAAAAAGGAAACTTTTTAACAAATAGAAGATTCAAAAGTATGTCTTACTTCATCTCACTCTAAGAAACAGCAGATTTGTTTTTCCCGAGAAAATCTAGATTGATTGCATCATTTAGGAATAAGTCTTTCATGAGAGAATGTGCATATCTCTGTGGAACAAAAAGAATGAATACGCTGATGTTTACCAGTCCAAATTCATCATTGTTTCCCTGAAAAATAAGACCATTTCGAAATTGAGCAGAACACAGACTCTGTGTGAAGTAAACACTTCAAGTGCTTCTTTCTTTCAAATACTTTCCACACCATCTCTATTTTCAACAATATTCCCTTTGTAATACACAAGGACACTGTTCAAGAATATGACTCAGCCCATGAATGTTCACTTTTATATCAAAGTCCAGTAGGCAGGCATAATCACAGATAAATATTGGATGATGACTCAATCTTCCTGCATGTTGTTTTCTTTTTCTGTTCTTTGGATCTCTTTTTTGTGAGAAAGCAAACTCCTCCTTCAGTTGAAATTGAAGCTACGACAGATTTCTTTTTTACTGCACAGCAGTAAGAGCTATTACCTAAATAAATTAGTTAAATAAAAGATAAATAATTGTGTAACACCTTAACACAAACACAGTAATCCCCAATAAATGGTCATAAAGCACATCTACTAAACCTGAATGTGTTTTGTGGAATTGCACTTGATCCAAAAGTTGGAGGCTGCAGCCTACATGTGAGATGACACTCTAGTGATGAAAACCAGAGCACAGTGCTGCAAGGTAATCCAAAGAAATGAACACATAGATGCACTGCCTTTTTCTTCTAAAAAATAATTTTCTCTTCTCTGAAACAGAACAATGGACCATTTATGGACCTTTACTGTAGATTAATAAATTTAATTGAGTCCCTGGGGAAAATAATTCAGTTTAACTACTGGAACTAATTCCTACATTCAGTAATCCCTAATAAGTCAATTTATGTTTGTAGGAATGCAACTGGGTGTCTAGGGTACAGATGTGCTATATACATTTGTGGGGAAGTAAATAAATAAGTAGCCCTCTTGTATTCATTAAAATTACCATATGGACCTGTCAACACTTCTTAGAGCAGCTTTGTAACAATGCCATTTAGCCCGGCATTGTACTGTGCCAATTGAATTAATGTATGTGACGCACAAATGCCTCCGAACCCCCAGTGACAGGAAGGTCTGTGATTTGTAAAGATTCCTCTGACGCATAAGAGATCCCACATTTTTACAGCCAGAACCTGGCTCTTAACCAAGGGCCATGGACATCAACTGATGTTACAGTCTAATTTACCTCACAGCTATTGCTTCAGTCTTTCCCTTCATCGCAGCAAGGAAGTGGTCAAACAGCATACTTTTAGTACATGCTTTAACCCTCAATGTATCCTTATGCAAAGTACTTACTTTCAGCCTCAATAAAAAAAATGACTGGTTAAAAAATGCTCTGTGATGGAATACGTGGTTCAGAGCTTCTAAAGAAGCTGTAATATTTTTTGCTGGGTTAAGAAGAGACGATTTCCTGACATCAGAGAAGAACTGCGACAGATATTCCATTTGTTCGGTGAGACTGGGAATGAGTTACTTCGAGTTACTACCTTTGTGTTGAATCCTCTCAGGAAATGGTCAACCCTAGGGAAGCTGCAAAGATCAAGGATTTTCTGTTTCACAAACTCAAAGTTCTAAAAGAAAAACAGCATATGACAGCATAACAGAACCCTTTAGTAGACATACAAATGACTAAGCTGGTGAAAGATTAATTGGAAATTTGGAAGTGCAAAAACAGAAATAAAGCATCTAACATTCCATATACTGTATATTAAAGGCTTTGCTTTGATATGATACCTTTAGATATTTTAAGTATCTAAAACGGGGGAGAATACCATCTACTGAACATGATTAAACTGTTTTTCATCATTTCCAGTCCATACCTTCTAATTGTGAATCTGTTTAACTCATTGGTTCAGCTCTACGATCCTTCTATCAGCATGAGGTCTGGCCATAGAGATCCCAGATTCCTTTCTCTGAAATGCATACAGATACTGTTAATCCATTCACTGTTTTACACACTGAAAGCTTTGCAGTATCTTAAAAAGATGACAGGGGGAGTGATTTAAGCTTACTGGAAAATTACGATCAAATGATGCTCTCCAAATCCTGGTGGGACTAAGCCATTTGAGTGCCACTGCAGTTTGCCACTGCAACCTGCAGTTTCTGGACACCACAAGCTGCACTCCTGGAAAACACTGCTCATATTGTAGCTTGGCCTTTAAAGATCCCAAAGACTTTTTCAACTAGATTGATAATTGCATTTGTGTGGTGTGCGTTGGTCTTGGATCCAAGACATGTTAATCAAACCATATTTATATTTGATTAATTTAAGATGTGTAGATAATATATTGTTTTATATACTAGTATCAGCATATAATCTGTGAATCATAATTTGGTTCTGATAACAAAACTAAAAATCTAGAATTATTGTTTTGGAATCCAAAGGAGGATGTCAGCTCTTTTCTTGGCTTTGATTCGCTACTACCTGAAGCATAAAAAGGAATGTAAAAGCCTAGGGCAGGCTTTGATATTTCAAGAATTTGTCTGATATGACCTGGACCACATCTAACAGAGCTAGACTGGGGGTCACAGAAAAATCGTGGAGAAAAAAATTCAAGTCCTTCGAAATTCTTGCTCCATTATTGCCATTTTACTTAAAAGTGATTTCAGAAACAAAATGGACCCCACCCTCATTATGATTTCCCCTTCCAACATTGTCGTCAGTGTAAGATGATTATATCTCAATTCCTCCCT